GAAAACTGGCGGCTGTTCGATTCCGGGCGGGTGCCCCAGCGGAGGGCGAGTCTGGGGAGGGGGTTCCTCCTCCCCAAAAATCGGAACGACAAGGTTCACAGCCTGATTTCGGCGAACATGCGGACGGACAGGAGTGGGCAGAGCCAGCAAGGCTCGGGCGGCCTCGGCGGAGGCGGCACGGCTGCGCGCCTTTGCGACCGCCGTCGCCCTCCGTATCGACTGGGTGGCAACGGAGCTCGAGGCTTGGGGCGTGGCCGCGCGGGCGATGGTGCGTGGTGCGCAGCCCGATGCGGTCGCGCCAACGAGACTCGCGCTGCAGGCCGAGGCGGAGGCGGCGGGCTGGGCGCACTCGGTGGCCGTGGCGCTCACCAGCGGCGGCGATAGTGACGGCGGCGGTGCCGGTGGCGGCGACGCGGTGGCGGTGCGACGCGCGGCGATCACAGCGCAGCTGAGGGGCGCGGCATCCCACGCAAAGCGCGTCGAGCGTCTGCAGCGGCTGCTGTGGCTGCGGTGGTCCGACGACTGGGCAGGCGAGGCGGCGCTTCCCCGCACCGCCACAACACGGGGCCTGATGTCATCAGACGAAGACTCGACGCTGGCGGTGGCGGTGCCGCCGTGCGAGCTGATCCCGCTGGACGCGGCCGACGGCGTCATCGAGGCGGCGCCGGAGGAGGTGCGCCGCCACGTGGTGGAGTCGTACCTCCCGAAGAAGCTCTCCAGCTACCTCGGCATCCCCTCCCTCGCCAGCCGCCCCGGAGGTGGCACTGGCGGCGCCAGCGCTGGCGCCGGAGGCTCCTCCGCGGCCGCCAGCAATACAGGTGGCTGCGGCAATGGCGCCGGCGGCGGTGCGACGGCGGCGGAGACGACCGTCATCCACGTACCGCCAAAGTACATGCACAGCGAGGGGAAGCTGCTCGGCGAGTGGGAGGAGGTCGCACGGAGATTCGGCACGATCGACCTGCGCGTCGACCTGCAGCCGAGGCTCGCGCCGCCCGCCACGCACGACGACCACCACGGCGACAGCCGCCACGCGCTCTGGATGGTGCAGTATGGCATCGTCCGCGGGTCCAAGAAGAGCTCGCCGGTGGGCGCGGGCGACGGTACGGCGGGCGCGTACGCGGCGGTGCTGATGGCGACGGGCGTCGACTTCTCGGTGGCCGAGCTGTTCGAGGCGTTCGCGCTCAGCTTCGAGCTGCGCTGCTTTGTTCGGATGGAGCGGCCTGGCAGCGGCACTCCTCAGGCCACGGCAGCAGCGGCTGCGAAGACACCGGTGGTGTCGGCGGCGACTGCGAAGGCAGCCACTGCTGTTCAGCCCAGCTGCACACCAGACGCCGCCTCCGCCGCCGTGCCACCCCCGGCCGAGGGATGGCGCATCTTCTGCGATCTCGACGGCGTCCTCGCCGACTTCGACGCCGGCGTGTCCGCGGCGGCCGCCGACGCGGGCATGCGTGCCGCGGCGGCCGACCCAACGTGTCTCAGCACCGAGGGGCTGTGGAGGCTGGTGGGACGGCGCAAGGGCTTCTTCGAGAAGCTTCCGTGGATGGAGGATGGGCGGGAGCTCTGGGGCGCGCTGAGCGGCGCGGCGGCAGCGACGGCAGCGGCAGCGGCGTCCTCATCGTCGTCGCCTGAAAAGGGCGGCCATGGTGGTAGCAGCAGGGCGGGCGCGCTGCCGGCGGGAGCAAAGGTGGCGTCGCTGGTGGTGCTGACGGGGCTGCCGGCAGGTAAGCTCGGCGCGCAGGCGCGCAAGCAGAAGGAGGCGTGGTGCCGGCGCGAGCTCGGCGCCGAGGTCGAAGTCATCTGCTGCACGAGCCGCGAGAAGTGGAGGTTCAGCGACGGCGCCAACTCGGTCCTGATCGACGACCGGCCCCACGACAAGCGCGCCGCGTGGGAGAGGACGGGCGGCGCCTTCGTGCACCACGTCTCGACAGCGGAGACGCTCTCGCAGCTGCGTCGGCTGATGGGCGGCGGCGGCGGCTGTGCTGGTGGTGTCGGTGACGGTGGTGCTGGTGGTCCTGTTGGCGCGGCGGCGGCCGTCGTGGGCGCGGCGGCATCGCGACAGCAGCATTCCTCCGCGGCGCCGCCACCGCTGCAGCCTGCGATGAAGGCGCGTGCAACGGGCGCGCTAGCGGCGGGCGTGGCGGCGGCGCCCACCTTCGCCGTCGACCCGTCTCGCATCGTGGTCGTGCGTGTGGGCGACACGCCCGCCGAGGAGGCCATGGCGGCCACGCTTCGCGGCGCCGTCGAGGCGGCGACGCCCGCCGTCGGCATCGACGTCGAGTGGCGCCCTGACGACTGGGGCGGCGGGCGGCGCGGCGGGCGGCCCAACCCCGCGGCGCTGCTGCAGATCGCTGTGCCGCGCGCGACCTCGGTCGCCGTCGACGTCGGCGGCGTGACGCAGGCGGAACGCGTCTTCCTCCTCCACCTTGGCGACGGCAGCGTTGGCCGCGTGGGTGAGACGCTGCGATCGGCGCTGCTTGCTTTGCTCGGCAGCGAGGCGGTGGCCAAGCTCGGCTACGGCTTCGACGAGGACGTGGCGAGGCTGAGCGCGGCGCTGCGTTGCCGCCTCGTCGTCCGCAGTGTCGTCGACCTGCAGCAGATCTACGCTACTTCCGCCAAGCTCGAGCTGCCGCCGCTGCACGCGGCGTGTTGGGCGGTGCTGGGCGCGAAGCTCGACAAGTCGAAGCTGCTGCAGTTCTCCGACTGGCGGAGCTGGCCGCTCTCGGGCGCGCAGGTGGGCTACGCGGCGGCGGATGCCGACGTGCTGATCGCGATCGCGCGCGGCCTCTTCGGGCCGTCGCCGGCGTTGATGAGGGCGTGGGCGTCGGCCGTCGCGGCGGGGACGGGCGGCGCGTGGCGGGAACCGGCGGACGATGCGGAAGACGAGGAGGAGCAGGGCGAGGATGATGGTGAGGAGGGTGGCGAGGAGGGTGGCGAGGAGGAGGAGGAGGAGGGTGACGAGGAGGAGCCGCGCATGTCGCCTGCTGCTCCTCTGCCGCCGCCGCCGCCGCTGCAGTTCGCCGCGGAGGTCGCGCAGGCCGCGTACGCCGGCGTCTTCCTCGATGCCGCCAGCGTCGCGCTGCTGTCGTCGCGGATGCCGCCCAAGCACGGCAGCATCCCAGCCCAGCCGCACCTCACGCTCGCGCACAAGCCGAACGCGAGCACGACCCGCGCGCTGCGGCCGTGGGTGGGCACCACCGTCGAGCTGATCCTGGGCGGCGAGGCGCACGACGCGCAGGGCCACGCGGTGCGCGTGGTGGGCGTGGCGCCGCCGCACGCCGAGCTGCTGTCGCTCTGCGAGAACGCGCACCCGCACGTGACCCTCTCGAGCGCCATCGGCACGCCGCACGTCTACTCGAACGCACTGCTGGAGACGGCTGCGGCCAAGGCTTGTGCTTCTGACTCCACCGATGGCGCCACCGCAACTGCTGCTGGAGTGGATGGTGGCGCGGTGGTCGTGGTGCGTGGCACGGTGGGCTTCGTGCTGCAGGCGGCGGACATCGGGCTGGGCGCGCTCCCCGCCAAGCTGCGTCAGCAGATCGAGGACTTTGTCGACGACGCCCACCCGGGCTCCAAGCTGCGCCTCAAGCCCGAGCAGCTCGACGCGAGGGAGCGGCACCTGGTGCACGCGTACGCGGAGAGCTGCGGAGTGATGAGCGAGAGCACGGGGAAGAAGGGCAAGGGCGCCGCCGACCAGCGCCGGCTGACGCTGACGATACCGCTGCGCGGCAAGAAGAAGGTCGACGCGGGTGGTGGTGCCGACGGCGGTGGCGGCGCGGGAGGCACGATTGTGGCGCATGCGGGTGACCTCGACAAAACCAAGGGCAAGAAGAGGGCGGCAGGCGCGGGTGGCGGCAGCAGTGGCGGCACGCGGAGCGAGCAGCGGCAGCTGGTGACGGACGGAGCGCAGCTCGATCGGCTGCTGCAGCTGGCGCCGCTGGTTGCTGGCGAGTGCGGCGACGGCGACGGCGACGGCCTCTCTGGTGCTGGTGGCGGCGCGGGCGCGTTTGCGACGCTCGAGGAGGCGCTGCGCGGGCTGAGCGGCAGCACGCCGGCGCTGCTTCCGCTGTGCCGCGCGCTGGAGGCGCTCGGCGATGCTGCCGGAGCGGTGGCGCAGGAGGCAGGGGAGGCACCAACGGACGCCTCCATTGGCACGCTTCCCATCGGCCGCGACGGCCTGCTCGCATTCGAGGAGACCAACCAGCTTGCCGATCGCAAGGTCATCATCTTGGACGTGGATGGCGTGCTGCATCCCTTCTCGTCCACATCGCCCTTCAGCGCGCCATGCATGGCGGCGCTGCGCAGCGTCGTCGAGCAGACGGGCGCGGCCCTCGTGCTCTCGTCGTCGTGGCAGGGCCTGCCGAGCACCGTCGCAAAGGTGAACGCTGCACTCGAGGCGCATGGCCTGCCACGCGTGAGTGCGCAGACGGTCTGCCCGAACGAGGCCGGGTACGCGAGCACTGGCGCAGACGCCAGGAGCCGTGCGAGCGAGATTCTCCGCTGGGTGGAGGCCAATGCGGACCGCTGCACCGGCGGCTGGGTTGCCATCGACGACATGCACCTGCAGAGGCTGCTGCCCGGCGGCAACTTCGTGCGTACCGAGGCCGAGGTTGGCCTGACGGAAGCCAACGCATGGTCCGCAGTCATGATGCTCGGCGGCTCGTCTGCAAAAGAGCAGCGCACTGGCAGCGAGGAGGAGGGCAAGGGCGAGGAGGATGAGGAGAGCGAGGAGAGCGAGGAGGATGAGGAGGGCGAGGAGGGTGGCGAAGGCGGTGTCGCCTTCATCATGCGCGGCCTGCCCGGCAGCGGCAAGTCCAGCCTCGCCACGCGGCTCGCCGCCGCATGGCGCCACGCCCACCTCAACCTCCGCCACCACGCCGACGACGACGCCGACGACGACGAGAGCGTGGCTCTCTGCAGCGCCGACGCCTTCTTCGCCGCCGGCGGCCACCTGACGCGCGAGCAGCGCCGGGAGTGCGGCGGCGACGCGAAGCTGCTGTACGCGCGCTCCTGGGACGCCTCGCTGCTGCAGCACGCGCACACGGCGTGCCGCGCAACCTTCGACGCCGCGCTGGGCCGCACTGCGCCTCTCGTGATCGTCGACAACGTCAACGCGAAGCGGGAGCAGTACGCGTACTATTCGCGCAGGGCGAGGCGCGCGGGCTACGCGGTGGTGGTGCTCGAGGTGGTGTGCCCCCCGGGGGAGGCGGCGCTGAGGGCCTTCCACGAGCGCAACGCGCACGGCGTGCCAATGAAGGCGATGCAGCTGATACGCGCCAAGTGGGAGCACGACGACAGCGCAGCACGCATTCTCCCGCACGGCGTGACCGCTACTGCGGGTGAGGCGGGTGGTGCTACTGCGGTGGCGGCGATGCAGGCGGCGGCGGCTGCGACGGTGGGCCAGCCGCGAGAGTCGCTGCTGCGCTGGCTGAGCCGCAACCAGTGCGTGCACTACTCGCACTCCCGCGCCAAGACGCACCTGCTGATGGCCGTCAACGGCGAGGCGGCGGCCTTCGTCAACATTCCACCCGCGCTGCGCGGCGACTTCCATGCAGTGTACGCGGCCGACGCGACGCCCAAGTACGTGTGCGAGCTGCACCAGAAGAAGTTCCGTCTGTACCTCGACATCGACCTCGAGGTGCGGGAAGGCGAGGAGCTGCTGAGCCGCGCGGCCCAGCTGGAGCTCGCGGCGTGCCTGCGCGAGGTGCTGGGCAGGCAGGAGTTTGAGGACATCGTCACGGACGCCGACGCGCCGGTTGTCGTCACCGCGGCGCGGCCCACGCCCGTCGCGGCGGCCGCCAAGGGTGCCGGTGCCGGTGGTGGCGCCAGCGGCAGCGGCAGCGGCGGCGGCAAGGTGCGGCTTGGCATCCACCTGCACGTGCCCGGCTCGCAGTGCAGCACGGGCGACGCGCTGGCGGTGCGCCAGGCGCTCGTCGACATGCTCTCCGGCGGCTGGTCCTCTGGCTCCGGCTCCGGCTCTGGCTCCCGTGCCGGCTCCGGCTCCCGTGCCGGCTCCGGTGCGGCGCCGCCGGCGCTGCGCGCGTGGCGGCCGCTTGGGAGCGTCGACTGGGAAACCGCGCTCGACAGGCAGGTCTACGGCGCGGGCTGCGGGCTGCGGATGCTCGGATCGCTCAAGGCGAAGAAGGGCGTGCGCGTCGGCGAGGGACGCCCGTACGCGCTCGTCGGCGGCGTCGGGCGCGGTGGCGAGGAGGTGGGTCTGGGAGAGGCCGCGCGCGACCCGGCGGCGCTGCTCGAGCTGGTGAGCATGCATTTGCCGATCGGGGCGCGCGTGAGCTCACAGGTACACGAGTATTGAGAGTTGGCCAGATAGCCTGCCGTGTACCGCTGTTAGCCGCTGTTTAGCATCGATGCATAATGAATGCCAAAGTTGTCGGCGCCACCGCGGGTTGTAAAGCGCCGTCATGAAGGCAGATTATGACTACTTCTTCATATTCGTGTTGGTGGGCGACGGCCGTGTTGGAAAGACGAAACTGTTGGAGCGCTTCGCCGATGACAAGTACACCGAATCCCTAAGTGCCCGCCGTTCTCCATGGCGCGCGTAGCTATGACAGGGACCGCGGCCGCGGACCCGGTGGCGGACGGGGCTGGTGCGCAAGCGCCGGCCACCGTCGTGCCGCCGGGGATGCGCAGCGGACCCTGGAATAGCTACGATCGCGCGCAACTGCAAGACGCGGTGATGGTCGCAAGGCTCGCAGGTGCGTCGCAGGTCAGGCTGATAAGGCCTGGCTACGCGACCATCGAGGTCGACCTGAAGCACGAGAAGGCCGCGGGCGACCGCGAGTCTGTGCAGGCGGCGGAGCGCTCGTTCATCGAGCGCACCGCGCCGCGGAAGAAGGAGGAGCTGACAGAGGAGCAGAAGGATGCTCGGGCCGCGGCTCGCAGGGCCAAAAAGGCCCGGCAGAAGAAGAACAAGGCGGAGAAGGCTGCGGCGGCGGCGGCTGCGAGCGAGGCCGAGCGTGCGGGCTACCCGTACGCGCAGCTGCGCGAGAACGCCATGTTCGTGATGGAGGGCCTGGAGGCTGCGGCGCAGGCGGCGCGCATCCCCACCGGGTCCAAGATTCAGGTCGCCTACTCGCTCCCTCCCGAGGGGGGCAGCGGGTTCGGCGACATGGTGTACGCCACGGTCCCTATGGGCACCGTGGCGACGAAGGTTGCCCGGGACTGGCTCGCTAGCGAGCTCTACGAGCCGTCCCGGCGAGGCAAAATTGATGCGGCCTACAGGGACCGAAAGGTTGCCGAGCTGATCACGGCTGCCGGCGCCTCGGCGCCAGCCGACGCCGTGTTCGGCGGCAGGTTCGCGACGGGCGAGACGCCCCGCCCGACGACCTCCGCTTCCGAGGCGGACGAGGGCGACGGCGGCGATGGCGGGGCCGAGAGCATGTCCTTTGACTTATTCTAGGTCCCCACCCCTGGCCTCACCCATATCTTACCTTCTGCCCCCCCCTCCTGCGACCCCCCAGGCTAGATGGAGTAGTCACAGATAAGCCGGTCGTGAGGACGACCCCGGCTAGTCGCCGACCACACCCACAAAGAACCCTGCACAAAGATCGCACGGGCGGGGACCTGTTCCTTTTTACCCATCTCCTAGAAGAGGTTCCGTTTTTATTTATTCATTGCCTTCCTGTGGGGCTACGCGGTATTAGGAATTGTAGTACGTCGTACGATGTTCTCTCTTCTGTTGACCCTCACAATACAATATACACAGCTCGGTCCATGACCATGCATTGTCGCATATGTGTCTTGTGTGTGCATGAGAGAAAGCAGGCCTGACAATCGGCAAAACGAATGCATCAATCGGTGCTAGAGTCCAGGACCAAGCGCCTCGCCCTCGGGGACCATAGGCCTCAGGCGTGAAGGCGACCCCACGATCACCATATCTGCATATGTCTAGGGACCCAGAGCATATTCGTGTGTGTGAGTGTGTGACACACTGTGTGTGTGGTTCAGAGTCCCTCAACGACGGCCGCCGCGCGTGGCTGTCTGCACATGCGCCGCTCGCCCTCGCTGGCCGGCTCCGCCTGTTCACTCTCATTCGCCGCCGAAGTAGCTAGTGTTGTGACGTGAGAGGAGTGCTTGTTAGGTTAGTGTGCGCCAGTCCACGCCCCCCTGTTGTGCCAGTGTGCTGTCATAAGAATTCTCGCCGGAATTCTTTTTTGAGCCGGTGTGTGTGCTACATGTACATGTAGTCTGCGACACCCCACCCTTGTCCTGTCAGTGGGAACGGCGCCTATCTGCGTTCCCCCCCAACACTGTCGCAGGACTTTATCTAGGATTCCTATCTATTCTTCGGAGCGCGTGCTCCAGAGCAGAGAGCAGCACCCAGCAGAGAGCGGCATGGGCTCCACGTGCAGCACGTGCTTGCCGGAGGACGAGTGCGAAAAAGTACACTACGCACAACGCGCCTCTGCGCGGAGGCGATGGAGCAGTGTGCGAGACTCGATCTTAAACGGTCACCTGCCTCTCGAGATCGACTTGGACACTCCCAGCGATGCCGGCTCGCGCTCACATTCTCCCCGGAGGTTGGCGCTGCTGCCTCCGGCTCCGCAGCGCAAACCCAGCTTTTACGACGTGGTCCGTCTCATCAGCTCGATCCCCGACTCGCCGGCATCCTTCAACCTCTCGGAACTTGGCTCTGTTTCCGGCCAGAACTCACCCACGGGGCGGGGCTCCCTCGTCAGCGCGTTAGGGTGCGCGCCGGGACCACACACTCGCCAACCGGCGCGCAAAAACCGCTCACCTCCCGGGGCACCGCCCATGCCACGCCGCAGGTGGTCCAACCGCCCGAGGACCACCGACGCGCCGCTGCTCGTCGGCAAGGGGAGCCACTCGCTCGGCCCGCTCCTCGTGCAGAGGCAAAAGACGCTCCCGATGAACCCCAGCAAAGGCCACAGCGAGGCGGAGCGGTACTGCGGCGATGCGGCGGAGCGTGGGGTGATGCGCGCAAACTCGCTGCCTCGCTCTCGACGGTCCTCGCTGCCGGATCCGGAGTGCGCGCCGGATTCCGCGCCCTCCCCCACCACCGAGACCGTAGGGGACGTGTCCTGGAGGTCTTCGGGGTCCTGGGCGTCGTTCGACGCGGTCCCGGAAAAAGCGGCTCCCAACGTCGTCAGCATATAGTTAGTTGTACTTACGTGGTCAGCATTTGAAGCTGGGGAGTGTGGGAGGGGAGGGCGAGGGGGTCTCGTGACTCGTGCTATGCGCGCCACAAATTGATAATTGTACGGAATCGTACGCCGGCTGTACGCCCCGGCGCGGTGTGGAAGCCTCTGAAAACGTGTGCGGCACATACCGTGTGCGTGGTGATACTGATAGGTGAAATCTGAATTGTGAAAACGAATTTTTGTTTCGTGGTCGGAATGAGAATCCTCAAGTGAGAATCCGCGCGATCGGATTGTGGAACTGGCGCGAACAATGCCCAATAGTGACACGTGCCGCCGCCCCGCACAGACGGTCTCGCGAAGCGCCCCGCCTGAGCGATGAGGCCTGTCGGCCGGGGCGCGGGCACCGGGATGCACCTACCCGGGGGCCGTTCTCCCGCCTAGGCCTCGTCGCCCTGGCTCGAGTGGCTCGATCGCGAGTCCCCGACGGACTGACTCGAGCCGTCGGACGAGTTGACCGTCACGAACCGGTGCGCCTCGGCGGCGGCGGCGGCGGCCTCAGCGGCCAGCCTCCCCTCGAGCCTCGCCTGTCGGCACCGGTGGGCACGTGAAGAGACGCCGTTCACGCCTCGGCCTCCTGCAACTCCGAGCCTCGCCGTTGTGGCGGCCCGGTGGCTGCCGCTCGCGGCGGCGGTGGCGGCGCCGTCGGCGTCGCCGTCGGCGGCGGCGGCGGCGCCTCCCCCTCGCGAGAGGCGCGAGGGGCGGCGCAACACCACGTTTGGCGCGCGGCGCGGCGCGGGGCACTTGACGAGCTTCGAGAGCGCCTCGAAGGCGCCTGCCGCGGAGGGCGGCGTCTGGACCGCGGTGTTGCCGCCGCCGGGCGCGAGGCCGGAGAGGCGGCCTATACACAACGGCATCACGGTGCGGCTCAGTGTGCGATGGGGGTGTGAGGCGCGCGAGGCGGGAGCGGAGGCCCGAAGCGGCGGAGAGGCGCGAGAGCGAGCCGAGGGAGGAGGTGCGCGTCGGAGGCGGCCCGCCGAGCCCGGACGCGAAGGAGCGCGACGAGGCGGCGGGCGAGGCGGCGCCGCC